AGACTGGGGGACAAATGAAGCAGAGAAGAGACAGCACCTTGATGATGACATATTCTGACATTACTGTGAAGGACTATTGTGTCCACCCAGCCTGGGATGCTATCCAGGTTGGAGCCCTGATACTGATCTTAATGACTAGGAATGTTTCTCCAGCTGGAATCTTCCCACTCAAGATTTGCACCATGGGAGGACCACCCTGGGAGGAGCCAAAGGGTCACCACCACCATCCCCCACCCTACTTCTCCTCTCTGAAAGCTAAGGCAGTGACAGGGAAGGAGGGCAGAGGTCAGAGTCCTTCCCTGTGTGGCTCACTGCAGAACTGCCCCGGTAATATCAAATCTAGGACCCTTCTCAAGCATCTCACCACGCCCTCTGGTGGAGGGCTCTCTTGACCACTGAGGTGGTCTCTGAACTCCTTAGGAACTCTTGGGGTTCTGTGTCTCCTCAGCTGACTGAAGGTTCATGGAAGGGTCTCAGCAAAGCCTCCTGAATCCCAGCTCGGGGACCTTGTCTCACGAGCCAAGTGTGATAGGCGGGAGCAGCATCATGGACGGAGGTGACAGAAAGCTGCAGGGCTCCAGTTGAAGGCCGCACTGCCTCTCTGTCCCTGGCCCATCGGCCCCCAAGCCCTGGAGCAAGTTCACTTCCTTCTGATCCAGAGGCAGGAATCCCACAACTTTCCTGCAGCTCCCAAGGAGTCGGCAGCCCAGCCAATCATGAGGAGCCACCCTCCTGCTCTCCCTCCAGACCTCCTTAGTGAACCCTAGATAGTTCAGAGACACCTGCTATCCCCCATAGTCAAGCTCTAAGCAGTCCCACCATTGTCTACTGGTGCCTGGTCCAAGCTGCCCCTCCGGGGCTCCGAGTATTTTAAGCCTGCTAAAATTTGGGGTTAGGGAAAGGGAGGTGATTCTAAGAAGAAAAGCCTTCCCTCCTGACTCAAGAAGAAATAGAAAGTCTAGGGCTGCAGAGATGGCTTAGTGGTTAAAAGTATGCATTGTCCTTCTCAAGGACCTCAGTTCGGGTCCCAGCACCCACCCTTGGTATCAGCACTCACACACACATATCCCTACATACACACTGCGCGCACACACACACACACACACACACACACACACACACACACACACACACGATTAAAAATAATACATCTTTAAAAAAAGAAATATAAAATCTAGATAAATCCCTAGCAAGTAGAGCTTGAATTGGTGACCACAGAGAAAGCCTAGAAACAGATGGCTTCCCGAATGACAGACATCTGCCCTACAACCCTTCCCAAAAAACAGAAGAGGAGGGAACACCTCCCTCTGCACCCTGATAGGCCAGGACTGCACCAACACCAAAATCCAGACAGAAGGCCTGAGAAGCAGGATGACTACAGGCCAGGTATGGTGGTGCATACCTGCAATTCCAGCACTTGGGGAAGTTGAGGCAGGAGGATGCATGACTCAAGACCAGCCTGGGCTACATAGTGAGTTGAAGGTCAGCTTGGGTTACATAATGAGACCCTGTCTCAAAGTCACCAACAGTAACCTGCTCCCCTGAAATCCCCCCAGACAAAACAAGCTGGCTCTCCCCCGAGAAGCCCGCATCCCTGCTGTTGGGTGTGTATTTTATTTTATGTATTATTTATTTTTATTTTATGTGTATTGGTGTTTTCCCTGCATGTTTGTGTGAGGGTGTTGGATCCCCTGGAACTTACAGACAGTTGTGAACTGCTAGGTGGTGCTGGCAATTGAACCCAGGTCCTTGAGAAGAGCAGACAGTGCTCTTAACCACTGAGCCCCCTTTGAGTGTGTCTTATTTCCTTCCAAATTGCCTCTCATTCTCTTAACCTTCATGCTTAAAAAAAAGTCTTTTAAGCCGGGCGGTGGTGGTGCACGCCTTTAATCCCAGCACTTGGGAGGCAGAGCCAGGCAGATCTCTGTGAGTTCAAGGCCAGCCTGGTCTACAGAGCGAGATCCAGGAAAGGCACAAAGCTACACAGAGAAACCCTGTCTCCGAAAAAAAAAAAAAAAAGTCTTTTAATAAATTCCAACTCTTCTTCAAAGGAAACAAACAACAAAAATCCAAAGCCCAAACCAAATCAAACCTGTATAGATCAGTAAGCCTTATGAATATAAATGCAAAAACCTCCCACCGCACCAATCAGATTGAACAACAGAAGGGACTGGATACTCTGAGCAAGTGAGACCTCTCCCAGGAACACAAGGTTGGCTCGACACATGGACAGAAATGTAGTTCACAGTATTCATATAACACAAGACCAAGCAGGATGTTGCTGCTGGGTGGCCTTGGGAAGCAGTGGCCCTTAGAACTAGTTTGCTACCTGTGACAGGATGCTAGGATGAAATATGTCCCCCGTAAGCGCTGGACAAAGGCTGGTCCACGCCCTAGTGTGACCCCCGAGTACCACTTGTAAGGGCAGCATCCACAGAGAAGGTCTGGGCTGTCTGTATGTTCATTCTGATCCAGGGGATCCAGGATAGGTGGGTGGCCATGCTCTGCTCCCTTGGACCAGAAGCACGGTTTATATGTCAAATCCTGCCTCTAAACCTTTGTCTCCATGGCTACACCTGGCAGAATGGCCACCTTGTTCTATGAAATCAGTGCACATTGTCCTCAGCTCAAGTCACACCTCACTCGGCCTTTCTCACTCACAACTGCTCACTCTCCCTATTCTAAACGTCCCAGCAGTGCGTATTTATTAACTCATACATTCAGGACCCAACACTCCTCTTTCTAGTATCTGGCCTTCTCAGAGCCTCAGCTTCCTGACCAGCTTGGTGCAAGGACAGGTGGCACTCAGCCAGGCAAGGACCAAGGCTGTGACAACACCATTTGCTTCCTTACCCTGTGCCCCGCATCCCTCGGTCTGTGCCCCGTACCTCGCGCCTGTGCCCTTCACACTCACTTGGCCGGGTGGAAGATGGAGCTCATCTCCTCTGCCAAGTGTCTTCGGAGGATGTGCTTTCCGCTGGGGATGCCTAGGGCGGTGGCCATGGCCTCGGCATTGAAGGTGGGCTCCAGCACCAGCACAGCACCATGGACACCGCTGTTGGTCAGGTTGTCCGCATACTCCTGAGGGCGGAAGCATGGGGCTGGGTGGTCTTGGGGACCAACTGTGCTAAGGCAGAGATATGACCCCAACCACAAGGGTTTCACCTATGGGGGTCAACTGATTTGAGAGTGAATGGGACCTGTTCCTTATCCTCAGAGCTGTAAACATAGGGGTCTTATGTCACTGACACTGGCTGGACCCTGGCAGGAGCCATAGATGGTTATGGAAAAAGTATTGCGAAGAACTGTCCAGTGATGAGAGCACTCAACAGGGGCCCTTGTGTAGCACTGAGGACTCCTCCAGTGACAGAAAGTGTGACCTTGTCAGGCTGAGTGATGGTGCCCCCTACCTTACATCAAAGTGGACATTGATTTGCATGTCATTTGCACAGGCTGGAGAATCAGCCCCCTGCCTCCACCACCATCGCCCCTCACCTTCAGGTCGATATCGCGCACCCACTTGAGCACCCGCTGGTTGGTCCAGACCACAGGGTCTGTGTTCTGTGTTTCGCAGCGGGCTCGGCGCTCCTGGAGGACCTGGGAGATGGGGAACAGGGAGTCAGTTGAGGGGATGAGGAACACACGGAGGTCACATGTGGAAGGACGTTCCCTGAGTGGGGACCTCAGAGGGCAAGTGTGATGAGGGCCACCCACAGCTGCCTGAGCCACACCATCCGTGTTGTGAGAAACAGAAGGAGCTGCCTCCCAGGATGCAGGGGATCAGGTGTGTGGGTTGGATAGAGACCCACAGTCTGTCTGCTCAATGTCCCCCAGGCCTGTGGCAGCTCTGTCCCAGCGATGGGAACAGTGATGGACATTTGTGGAGACCCTGCTTATGGCAGGGAGGTTCTTGGAGTCTGTGCATCCTGGTTTAAAATACCATCTTTGGGGTCCTGAGGATGACTCAGCTTTCTGTCCTTTCAACAAGTCGCTCTAGGGGACTGATTCCCAGGCCAAGAGCTCCAGAGGCATGCCCTCTGTGGTAGTTTAAAAAGAATGCCCCCCCCCCCTTGTAGGCTCATGTATTTGAATCTCTGGTTCCCATTGGTGGAAGTGTTTAGGAAGGATTAGGACTTGGGACTTTATTGGAGAAGGTGTGTCACTGAGAGTGAGCTTTGAGGTGTCAGAAGCCTGTGGCATTCCCAGTCTCTCTTTCTCTGCCTCTGCTTGTGGATCAGGTGTGAGCTCTGAGCTGCTGCTGCAGCACCATGCTCACCCACCTGCTACCACGCTTCCTGCTGTGGGAAATGCACTCACCCTCTGAAGCTGTGAGTGAGCCCCCAACGAAATGATTTCTTTTATAAGTTGCCTCCATCATGGTGTCTCTTCACAGCAACAGAACAGCAGCTAAGACCCCCTCTCTAGGACTTCCGACCCAAAGTCGCCCTCACTTTCCCTATCTCAGTGAGTCCTGCTCCATGTCACTATCAGAACACCCCATGTCTACCCTCTTCATCACACTGGGGCTCCTAGAGGCCAAGGCCTGGTCCCCATCTTCTCCTTCTGCCCAGCCATGCTGTGGGTGACAGGACCACAAGGCTAATGGCCTTCTCTGTGTTCCTCTCTCAACACCGAGCTACTTAGGCTCTGACATGGCTCTAGATAAAGTCAACCACAAGGACCCAACCCTGAGGACCAGCCTCTCAGTGACCCTCCCCAGGGGACTTGGAGGGGCCTGAGGCTGGGGCTCTGTGCTCTCTGGCTTAGCCGAGTTCAGAATCAAGGGGCATCAGAACTGGCACAACAGTCAGGGCTCTGGTCCCGTCCCCCGTCCCAAGCCCACCGGCACTCATTCTGTTCTCCTGCTGCTACAGAGCTGGACTCTGGGCCTTGGTCACCATGGTTCTCTCTGCTGTATTGTCTTCCTCGATCATCAGTTGCTGATTTTTTAATCTTTGTTTAATTCCACAACCTCAGACTCTCCTGATCCCCAAGAAGGTGTTTCTCAGAGCTTTTGGAGAGCCCTGAGTGTCCTCCTCAGGGTTGAAGTCCTTACAGACTTCAGTGGTTCTCCCTGAGGAGCAATGGATTCTGAGGTTGAGGGTTCCCTTGGTCCCCTGATCTGATCATAGGCTCTTGTCTACTCAAGTAAGGAGCTGCTAGAAGGGGGAGAGAGGAAGAGATGTTGGATGAAGGGATGGGTGAATGGATGGATGAAGGGATGGGTGAATGGATGGATGAAGGGATGTGTATATGGGTGGATGGATGGATAGGGGTTAGTGGGATGGAAAGTGGATAGGTGGATAAATGGGGAGTAGATTGACTGTGGGTTAAGTATACGGGTGGGTGGGTGAAGGGTTGGATGGATGGACAGTTGGTAGGTGGATAGATGGGGGTGTAGATGGGCAATGGGTGGGCAGGTGGATGGAGGGATGGATGGGTAAACAGATGGGTGGATGTGTGAATGGGTGGATAGATGAGTGAATGATTGGGTGGGTAGATTGATGGATGAATAAGTGAATGGATAGATGGATCAGTGTGTGGATGGGTGAATGGTTGGACAGAAATTGCATGTGGAGATGGATTGTGGGGGAGTCCTGCCCCCGCCCCACCCCTTATAATCCTCACCTCCCTGCTGAAGTTCACTTGGTACAGCAGCTCAATCCCCAGCAAGATGCTGACTTGGTGGAACTTCTTGGAGACGTTCAGGTGCTTCTCGAGGTCCCGCTTCATCAGGGAGTTCAGCATCCTCCCATCAACCAGGTGGTTCTGGAAGGCCTGGGAATACTGGGACAGGCCGATGTCGTTCAGCCAAGCCTTGGCCACCCAGTGATGGTCCAGGTCGGCAGCTTTGGACAGACTGAGGAGACACAGCCAGAGAGAAGTGGGGGTGGGGAAAGTGTCAGAGGCAGGGGCAGGTGGAAATGGTGCCAGAGATGGGGAGAGGGGACAAAAGACAGGACAGGGAGTAGACAGGAAAGCCAGAGATCAGCGGGGAAAGGGATGGAGTAGAGAGATAGAGGAAAGAAGAGAAGAATGGAGTGATCAGAGACGTGGAGAGAGAGAGACTGAGACAGAGAAAGAGATTCAGACACCCACAGAAAGAGCGACTAAGACAGAGACAGACAGACAGACAGACAGACAGACAGACAGACACACATTCAGGCAGAGGTGGGTAGGGAGGGAGAGAGCAAGGCAGAGAGACAGACAGAACTAAAGAGCAGCAGAGGTTCACAGGAACAAAATGAATACCCCTGGACCACATTCAGACTAAAACTGAAAGGGGGCGGTGTCAGGAGAAGGGTTACCTGCAGAAAGTGTCCCTCAGGGGGACCCATCCTTGCTTTGACCCACCCTCTTACCCTAGGGATCTGCAGGACTCCTCAAAGTCCCAGGATGACCACCCCCCTCCTTGTCCACCTGTCTGTTATCCTCTGGTGCCCTTTCCTGTTTGGAGGAGGATGAGAAGTCTTCTTGGATCCACACATAGTGTTCCAGGGCTTCTGTCCCAAGACAGGCGTGTGGCTCAGCCCTTCCCCCATTGGCTCATTTCTGAGTCAGAGAAACCCAGATCACCCTATCCCCGGGATGCTGTCGCTACCTTGCTGCCACACCTCAGACTTGCGCAGGACAGAACCTCAGAAACATGCACATTGTAGGTACACACACACACACACACACACACACACACACACACACACACACACACAAAGCTTTAAAAGCTTTATTCACTATTTTAGGTGTATGTGTGGGTGTGCCTGTGTAAGTTCATGCACACCATGTGTGTGTAGGTGTCCTTGGAGGCCAGAGGGTGTCTACTTGTCTGGAATTGGAGGTACTGGTTGTGAGCTGCCTGGTGTGCGTTCTGCAAAAAGGCTTTGCTGAAGGATAGGGAAACGCCTGGCAAGGCGGGTCTCTAGATGTCATTCCTCTGACTGCCACACGGTGGCAGCCTCACAGAAGGAATGAGGTCCCCACAACATACCTACCTGCAGAGGAACTTGAAAAATGACCTAGTGCTGGCAGGTAAGAAAGAGCACAACGTTGTCTAGGTGGGAGCCAGGAGCAAACACGAGGGGAACACTCAGTGGAAGGGAACACAGTTGGCTTACAAAGGGGTGCTGCCCTTCTCTGGGGCAGCTGGAGAGAGCTGGCATGCCCAATGCTGTTCCTGTTTCAGATGCTTTGCTGACCTTTTACCCCAACACCCGCTGAGCATCTTCTGAGCCTGCACTCAAGGTGCTGACAGGGCTCTCTCCTCCGTCCCCCAGGGGCTGTCTGTCCTCTAAGATTGTCCCCGCCTTCAATCCTGCCGTTCTGGTTACTGCCCTCAAAGCACTCAATGCCCGGTGCATTTAAATACAAAGGGATTTATCCACTGGTTTATTGTCCCTCCTCCCTAACTTAGGGTACAGGAGTGGTGGTCAGGACACCATGTTCTCTGACATAATGGGTGTGGGGCTGATTGGCAGACACTCACTAACGACTTGTTGGCAGGATGTCTGCATGGGTCCTGGCTCCCTCTCCCTCCCTCTGCCCAACCTCCTGGAACTGCTTTTCCCCAAGCAGAACCTTGTCCCCTGTCTCCAGGCCTGCTGCCCACCATTCCCTCTTTATCATCTCCTCCAGGCTCCACTGGGCTGTCTAGTCTCCCAGACACCTTTCGGGAACTCCCCCCAGGACCAGGATCCTTTCTCTTGCCAAAGGTCGCAGATCCCCATGTGTACCTGGCGTGTTGGGGTTAACTACAGCTTGTAGGCCAACTCCCTCTCTAGACCGTCCTGGCGAGGCCCAGGCCGGCTCCCTCGGCCCCCCCTGCAGAGTGAATGCTGCCTGGCATGTCTCAGAACTAACTGTTCAAGGCCAGGGGTGGGACTGGGCTGCACTCTGCCCTGATGTGGCTCCTACGCCAGAACATTCCAGCCCAAGATAATCTTCCTTCTGGGATGATGGTTCCAGTGCAGAGCTCGTTCGCCCACCATGGCTGGCCTACTTTGGCACAGAGGGCCCTTGCTCAGCCCCAGCCCTCATGGCCATCATGGCTCTGAATTGGAGGCTCCTGGCAGGGTTGTCACCGATGGGAATAAGGGAAGAGTGCCCCGTCCCCCATCCTTCTGAAGTCAATGGTGCCACAATGTTGGGGTTGGTGGCCAGGAGGCACATCTGGCCTGACCTCCTCAGCCGTGGCTCACTTGTAGCCAGCACTGTCCCTCTACAAGCTCCCAAAGAACGTGCATTTGACCTTCAAAACGCCTCTACACTGAAGTTCAGTCACGCTTGCCCGGCTGCTGCTCGGAGCTGACCTAGGGACTCAAGTCTGGCTTCCAAAGGAACCCAGTTGCTGTTTCATTAACAGCTGTCCGTACCTCTTCCTCAGGTGGAGCTAGGCCGGACCCCGTGGTCTGATGACAGGCATGTCATGGAGAGACCATCTGGTTATATTGGGAGACTGTTCTGGGTTTGGGAGCATGCAACCCCAAGACTCAGTTTCCTCTGTAAAAATGGAGATAGCCACACTTGCTGCATGGAGTGGTGGGGACTGAAGGGGTTGGAGAACAGGAATCCCTAAGCCCAGCTCCACAGCCAACAGTAGGAGGTGACAGTGTTTTTA